TTATAGATGATTAATATTTTACAAACAGGTTATTTTATAGGCGAAGTAATTCTAGTTATTGTTGTTTAGAATTTAAGTTAAGATTAGTGAAGTCTATTCAAAAAACTTGTTTATAAATATGTTATCAATAAAATATACTATTTACTAAATAAACTTGTTAATAGGATATTATAATATAACTCTTACTACAAATCTCTAACACAAAATTTACTTAAAATTTGTCCAACAAAAAATATCTATTTATACAAAATTTTACAATGTTAATCTAATTATATGTAATAATAAAAGCTGTCCAGTTTTTCAAAATATATATAATATTTAAATTTTAAGTCTCTAGCTTTTATATTTGTGAAGTAAAGTCCTAAATTGTTTTTTAGACAAAAAATTTAAACTTTTGCTATTTGCTCTTTAATCTGATTCTAAATTTCTGCACTATATTATTAAAAGTTGCTCTATTAATTTTTCTTGTCATAACAAGCTATATTTTATCTTTGTAGCTTTAAAATTGACAAAGTTAGCCTTTAAAATATTTTAATTCTTTTTTACTTACTCTTTACAATTTTTTTTTTGTCTTTTTTTTGTACTTTCTACTTTATATGATTTTTGTATAATATTTGAGCACTTCCAAATTTATCTAAATTAACTTTATATTATAGAAATATTAATTTTCCTTTTATATTTTTCATTCTAATAATCAATTTTACACAAATTTGCTAATTATTACACAAAAGTAAGGATAGCAGATATTTTAAAATATTGTGTTTTAAAACATGTTTTAAATGTTTTAAAATAATTAAAATTTTTAATAAAAAACAATAAAAATCAAATATATATTTATTAACCAATCAAATTATAGAATTTTAATTATATGGAGTCTTTGCCTTAAAAATCAAGTTATGAAATAGTAAATCATATATCTTATATTTAATTTTTAAGACAAAGACTTTATATTATTATTTGTAGTATTGTGCTTTGTATAGTATAGTATAAAAAATTTTAAAATATTTTAGAACAAATTATAAAACTATTTATATCTTAAAGTTTTTTGACAAAACCACCTTTTGTATTCTAAAACATACTATATATACTATTATATATACACACTATATATATATGCTAAAAAAAATCTAAAAATTATATTATTGGTATATTACTTATTTAAAATTTAAAGTTGCTACTTTAAATATCTAATAGCATTTAGCTAGAATTATATAAATAACAACTTAAATTAATTGAAACTTCTTTTTTTTTTTTGTCAATTTGGTATTCTTGCTAATATTTTATTAGGTATAATCATTTAAACTTTTAAATAAAAATACAAGTTTAAATAAAGTTATCTAAAGTTTATCTAAATTACAAATATTGACTAACCCAGCTCTTTGTAATACCGAAGTGCCCAAATTACCCATGTTTGATCTGCTATAGTAAAGTTTATCTCTATATCAAAAAACCTTGCAAATGAATTCTTCAATACATTATTAAATAGTATTTACAGCCTATCAAAATCACCTCCTTTTCTAACCTTCTTCTCCTAGCTTTCTAAGCAAAAAGATTCATAGTTTTCAACCAACTTATAAAAAAAAAAACTAATACTAACAAAAAAAGATAAAGAGAATAAAACAAAAGAGGGAAGAGAAAAAAAAAAAGTCTAAACAACAAAAAAATGAATAAAAAAAACAAATAAAAGAAGAAAAAAAAAGCAAGAAAAAAATAAATTTATAAAAGCACTATTATAGCCCATGCTAGACACAGTTGTAAAAGTTATAAATTTAAACAAAACTAATTTTTAAATTTAAAAATCTTGTATATCTCTGTTGTAAAGCTACATCTTATTATTAGAATTTTTTTTTAACTATTATATCCGATCCGAGTCGGTTCATTAACCAGAGCGCTAATTGGTTTATCACATAGTATAGAGCTATTATTGCCAAAACAATCCTGAGTTTATGTCTTACTTCATCTATCTGAAAATAGAAAGTATAAACAATGCCAATCTTTTGAAAAGGGTAAGCTAAAATATCCACGTTTTTGTCGAAAATTTTGGTGAGATTGGCAAAATATAAAAAAAAGAAAAACACTTAGACATACTAAAGAAGTGTGAGTTTCTTTTACTAAAATTAACTATACATCTGAGTTTGTACAGTACTAAGTCTTATCAGTGAGTGATAAACTCTAAACTTGTTGGCAAGTAGCAACAAGTGCTATGTTTTCAGTTAGTGAATGATAAACTCTAAAACTATTAGCAGGTAGCATATGAAAACTATCTTTAAATAATAGCTGCTAACTTAGAGATTCCTTTTCTCACATCTTATATACAAGTCATTGACTTTACTCTAGTATACTGTTTTTTTTCTAGTAAAAATTTTTTTGAAAAATGTAATTCAAATAATCATTGAAAAGAGTTTATTAATTGAAACTTCATATAAAATATTTTTATATAATATTTAATAAAAAATATAAAAAATGGTTTAAACTATGTTTTAAAACATATTTTAAAATATGAAAAAATAAAAAACATGTTTTTTGCTATCCCTACCCAACCCTAACTAAAGAACAGGCCTAGTAGTTTGATTTTTAACTGATTATGACAAGTTATTAATTTTAACAAGATTGGTTTAAAAAGAGCCAATAGTACTATCAAATTAAGTTTAACAAATAATAATAAAATTACAAGTTTGTACTATATTTGTAATCTAACAAAAACATAAATTAGGTTATAAATATTTTCTATTACTATTGCTAAATACTAGAAATCATTATAAGTTTGGAGGAAATCATATAGGATTTGTTGTATTATACAAAAGTGAAGACAAACAAAAAATTCAAAATTATGATTTTGATATTTTCACTATAGAAGTGTCAAGAATAATACTTTTGAAGTATCAAAAATATAATTTTTGTATTACTTTGCATAGAAATTCAGCATTCTCTGCTATACTTCAGACAATTAATATGTGTTACAATAGTTTAAATTCTTTATTTCTATTGACTATAAGTAAACTAATCTAAAGCCTAGTTCTAAACCAAACTAAACTAAAACTAATTTATAAACTGGTTTATGGATCTTGGTTTAGTTTATAATCTGCTACCCAGATTTGGTTTTTTAAACTAAAACTAGACTGAACCAAAACAAACTATAATATTTCTATTTTTCTTGTAAATTATATATAGTACCTAATAAATACTAGTAAGATTGCTAAATTTACAAAAAATAAAGTATATTGTTATAACTTATGCCAGGTTAAAAAAAATTATATATTAATTAGATTTTTTTTTTTAGTATTAGTGTCTTGTATTTAGTATCTCTAAAGCCCTAATTTTAAACATAAAATTATATATATAAACAAACATATAGTTGCATTTTTCTAAGTATGGCTAGATAAATAAACAATTTTAGCATTTACTATAAGCATATTTACTAGTTTTATTTTTTATAATAAATATAATATTTTTAATTATTTTTATAATAATAACCTTTGATCTATTAGTTTACTTTAAATAATTTTATTACTTAAATGCTCTTTATAATGAGATGATTCTAACAAGCCCATAATTATCTAAATCCAATTACAGGATCTTGAGATATTCGCGTGTCAAATAATAACGCACCTCCCAATGTGGAACGATTGGTTGGACATAGTATAGACTATGTCCAACCAATCGTTCCTCATTGGGAGGTGTGTCATTATTTGACACGTGAATACCTAAAGATCCTGTGATTGGATTCAGATGATTTTGGCATTTTAGTAATAAAATTATTTAACGTAGACTCATAGGAAGTATTTTGCAGATCAGTATAGTATAGGTGAGCAGATTAGTATAGTACAGGCCGATTTTTAGATCTATACTATACGGACCAGGTATTATATATATGTATGAGCGTTAGTATAATTTTGCAGATCTGTATAGTATAATTTTAAAAATTGGCCTGTACTATACTGATCTACTCACCTATACCATACTGATCCGCTATAATTTCACTAATAGGTCAAAAATTATTATTATAAATATGATTAATTATAAAAAAACAAACCGATGGGTATGGTGAAATTCACCGGGTATGATGTTTCTAATAAACGACTCCAATAAAAATGTACAGCACCCTAATGAACCTAACCTTTCACTATAATTTAAGCCTTAAACGTTTAAATTTTTTCGATATATAGCGGTGAATGTTAAATAAATTCATTTTTGAATATATATATAACAATAGTACAGTTGACCCTCGCTAATATCAACCCATTTGGATCGCTTTTATATTCATGCTGATATGATATAATGAGGGATCATATTTAAAGTTGATATATATGAGAGAATTTTAATGTAATTTTAATATAATTTTAATATATAGAAATTCATTTTATAGTTTAGGTTGATAAATTTAAAGAAAATAAATCAAGTAATGTTTAAAATATTTAAATAAAAATGTTTAAAATTTTACCTTCAAGCCCAATTATTAAAAATAATAAAACAAATAATAAATTTTTTTAATAAAGATAAGAGCAAGGCCTCACCTTTAACATTAAAAAAAAATAACAATAATAAATTTTATCTTTAAAAATTTTAAAATAATCCAAATTACTTGCTGTATTAAAAAAAATAAATTATCAAAATAGTTATACAAATTTTACAGTAAAATAAATTTGACAAATTTTAATATAGATCATATAATGATGAGCTTTATAAGCCTACAGTTTAATCTGAAGTTCAAAATCTACGTTATAAAGCATCTATTCGGCCTTAAGTTCGGATTCGGCAACTAATATTTCACAATCCACTATTAACGTTAGAATTCAATATAATTTTTTTTTTTTTTAAACGAAATCTTGTTAAAAATACCAACTACGAATTGTTACAAAACGTTAAATTTAGATTTGGCCGCAATTAAACATTTACAAAGAATATTCCCTTAAAATTGGTAATATTAAAAACTTCTTAACATACTAGATGAATAAGGAATCTAATTTATTTCTATAATTGGTGAAAATCTGAAGTGCGATTTAATCTTTCACAGGATAAAATTCCCTATATGACTAAAAAAAAAACCTAGTATTATTACTGTATTTATGAATTCTCTTAAAGTCGTTTGGGAAATATTTAAAAGACAAATTCATCTGATGTATACAATAATTTTTTGACGATAAAAAATCTTGCCAAAATTTTAGAAAAGTTGGAGAATATAACTCAAATAGTGAAAACCAAGGACTCACTATAAATATCAATGGGTCAATCATCATTTTTTTATTCGCCACCCATCAACCAAGCTTTCTTCTTCATTTCTTTCCTTTCTTTCTTTTTTTGCTTAAATAATTCAATATCCTTTCTATTCAATTTTTTATTGCTCTTTGTTTCCGAGCTCTCTTTGCTCCTCTTTGACCTTTGTTCAGCAAAACTTTCATAATCAAAGAAATAAGACATTTGCCGAATTGCTTTTGCATCAGACGAAAATTTTTCCGGTGTCAAAGTTGGGTCACGCTGAAATTTACCCGTTCGTGAATTGAATCTAGCAGATATGGTGTAATCAGCACCTTCATTTCCATGTTGGGCGAGAAAGGAATTATAATCTGAGTCTTCTGTCCCTTGAGAGTATTGGTAATAAGCACTCGTGTCCGAGGTTGAAGATTCTTGTTGTTCTTGTTCTTGGGATTGCTCATTGTTTTCATTGTGTTGAGAAATAGATGAGGAAGAGGGTAATGAAGAACTAGTACCATCAAGTTTTGACTTAACTTCAGTATCAATTTTATCAAGAATAGATTCCAATGGGTTCGGCGGTTCAGCCGGAGCAGTTACAGCAGTGGAAGAAGTATCGTAACCATAATAGTAACCTTCAGGATAATACCCATATTGCGCGTAATAATACTGATAATATTCTTCAGTTGCAGTAGCAGTATTAGCAGCTTGGTCAGCCGAAATCGCAGTGTCATTTGTAGGACATTGATAATATGAGCCTTCTGAATATGATATACTGCTGGGAATTTCCCAAGTTGTTTCATTTGTAACTGTGTTCCAATAATAATACGCTTGAACATTATCATCCCAAATGGCCTGCCAATCGGAAGCTTGATCCGTTTTTAACGACTCAGTCACTGTTTCAGTCACTGATTTAGATTCTTGATCCAAGACTTGATCAGTTGAAGTTACAGTTTCAGTTGTGGAATTTGTATTATTTTCTTCAATAGTGTTATCAGTTGTCTCATGTTCTGTATGGGCAGGATTAGTAACTTGTGAGAAAGACATTTTTGTCTCTATAATTAGAAACTTAGTGTTACTTTACTTGAAAAAGATAATGCCGCAAGGTCGTTTTGTGAAAGAATGTCAGAAGAAGATACTGATCTAAAAGATTGAATTTCTATGTGGCAATGACGTAACGCAATTATTCCTTATCAGGCTAAACACCTGCATAAATGCATCATAATCAATAATCATTATAAGGATTGTCGTCTCACTCGGAAAGTAAACAAACCAGAAACCGGAGCTAAAACGAAAACTTTATAGTCGTCTTTTTGTCTAAAGCGCGCCAATATGATAACCAATACTGTCACGAATGAGGTGCCGAAACAAACCACGTTAAAGAATCACGCAGCAAATAATAATTTACAGTATACAAGGAATATATTACAAGGTATTTTTTCAGTTATTTTTTTCTCACGAGATTTTCGGGCTGTGGTAAATTTTTACCTTGAAAGTTGTTAAAGTGGCTTCATCTCGTGTACTAACCTGTACAAAAAACCACCAGAAACCAAGAAAGATCTCAAAAGAAAAGCTGCAAGACAAGCAACAGCTGGTATTTATTTATTTTTTAAAAAAATTTTTTTTTTCTAATTGGAACCCAAAAAATATATATATATTATTAAATGCCCTCCTGACTTTACTTTTCTAACCCTTATTTTGGCTTGTACCCCCTTTTAAATAATTTAGATTGGTAAGTTTGATAACAAAAAAAAGCTTTTTTTGTCATAACAATGGGGACCATTTTTGTAATTTTTTTACTGTGTGAATTTTATTGTCATATTTGTACAATTTTCCGAATATTGAAAATTATCAGGAACGGTTTATTAATATGGGCTAGGAAACAACGTGGGCCATATTATGATCCAACGACGCGCATGTATCATGTCAATAGAAATTCGAAAAAATATTTTGCAGGATATACTGAAGCGGACGCTGAAATGTGAGTTAAAGAATTTCCGTTTCTATTTCTTTAACTTAAAGCATGGCAAAATTTTCGATAGCCAATAAAATTTTAAAAAACATGATGACCAAATTGTTTGTGTAACCTTTCAGTGAGAACGATGCTTTAGGACTGACTGGCCAAAAAAGTGTGCATAATAGTTTCATTAAACCTGCATTACACATTGTTGACAAAGAGACGATAGTTTACGGAAACAACATGTCCCCTGCCCGTGTTGGTAACCCAAGCGGACGGAGACCTGGACGCCCAAGGTACCTTTATTCATGTGATTCTATTAAATTTGTAATTCTTTGTGAATTCAGTTAATTGAACTGGTTTCTGTGAACTAATTTAGGAAATCGGATATGTCAAAACTTAATTAATATAAAACTTTAGCATTAGCATTTACAATTACATACTATTTATCATTTTGACGTGTTTTGCAATTTCATAGAGCTAGAAATAATCATGCAAGTGACGCCTTATACATAGATATTCATATATGTTAAGTGATATTTAAACCTCGATCTTTAACAGACACTAATTGTACACCCGCATTATTATTTAAACTTGAGTTAAACTTGTAAATTTGGCCATTGGAGATGCAAACTGCATATCAGAATTTACTAACTAGGAAGGTTTGATTGAAGCATCAATAATGCTTTTTTTTTGGTGCAGCTTTTTTTTTTTTTTTTACTATTGTGCAAAATATATAATAATTCGTAACAATATATTTATTAGTATAAGAAATAAAGCATTTAATGTTTGTAAAATTGATTTGTGTTTATGTTATTACGTAATTTATATATAAAAATAATGATATAATTCAATTTATAAAGTATATATATATTTTTAACAATTAAAACCTGTAACTAATTGTAAATTTTTATTTTAGATTTTAATTTGGCAATATTTATATACCATATGTTAAAAATTTTAAAAAAATATATATCTACTGTAGTTAATATATTTGTTTTTAGACATTATGTAAAAGAATTTGTGTATTTTGCTGTTATAAACTACTATTTTTTATGAAAAATCCTATTCTTACCCGGGTTATTTTAACTCACTAGCAGAAAATTCTATCGCGTAACTTACGCTTAGTGGGTCACGTGATCCACACTTTGTAATGCACCAATCAAACTATAAGAGCTTTTAGTAAAATAAAAAATTTTCATCAAATTAATAAAATATTTTTGTTTTAAGTTTTGAAAATTTTTATTTTTATTAAATATTTTATAAAATGCACCTATGGTGGTTTTGTATTTATTATGTTTTATTATGTTTTTTCAATTTTTCTAAGTTTTGAATATAAAAATTTTTAACATAAAATTTTTATATTAGTGCTGGTATTTAGTTAGGGTTAGAATTTGGAAGAAGTTTTTAGGGTATAAAAGAACTCCAAAAAACTTTGATACAACTTATATATATATATATTTTTTTTAAGCAATCCTGTCTTTATTCTCTTGTTTGAACTGCCGAATAACGCTGTGATACATCAAAATAGACTAACATCCACAACTAATAAAGACTCACCAAGCCTGAGCCCAATGCAACCAGCTATAACAACTATTAGTCCCTCTCAGGATTTAAAACTTTCTTCGAATTTTGTAATGATGAGGTTACCCCCCAAGAGGTATGACAGGTTGTTGTATACCATGTTAGGATCTTTTCTTTCCTTTCCAATTCTTCCTTCTTCTCAAGGGGCACAAGATAAAGAGGAGGAAGATTTAAAAAGTAAACAAAATGAAAACAACCACTAAAAACCTAAAAAAACACCAAAAGGAGTAAAAAAAAACACATATTTTGAAAAAGAAAAAATAAAAGAAAAGAAAAATCCTAACAAAATGATATAGCTATATCATGGCTAAAAAATTATATAATACTTTTAAATTTAGCTCTACTCTAGATTTAGTCCATACTATATATAAGTGTCTTTGGAGTAGAGTTAGCCCTGCAAGAATTATTATAAAAGTTCTTCAAATAGTCAATATCAGTCTTTGTTCTATATGACACAGTTTGATTCCTTGATTGCCCGTTCTAATTCATATCTTGAGCCAGGTGCTGCCACTGTCCGAGAACTCGTATTTCAAGCCACCTGCTGCCGTAATTAGAGTTCCCGGGCTATCAAATCCATGATTCCTCGTGACTCCTGTTTTCAATTTGAAATTGATAAACAATGCAGATTTTTTGGAGGGGGTATGCCAATTTTTCACTTTTTGTTTAGCAAAAATTCTCTAAAAAAATCTAAACCAAGCGAGAATATGGAGAGAGGGTTTTCAGTTGCAGGTTCTTCAAAATTTCCAAAAGAAAGTATTGAAAAAACTTGTTTTGTTGTTTTCTACTGTTTTGTTATAGATAACTTCGTCAACAAAAAAACTTTGTTACTCCACCAAAATTTCATACACAAGGGTGCTACCTCTTGCCAGTTATTTTATATAACAACACTTTTGGCTTGCATGTTGAATATATAAAGAAGTCTCCAATACAAGCAAACAGTTGATCTTTATAAAAACCGTACTTTATATTATCCTACTACACTTTGGGTGTAGGCAATAATGATATGACCCGGTTAGACAATAATCGGGTAACCGAACCGAACCGAAAAATCAGGTGACCCGGTTAAGCAAAAGCTTAACCGGTTAACCAGTTATTCGGTTGACCCGATATAATTAGTTGACCTGGCTGACCCGATATAATCGGTTGACCCGGCTGACTCAATATAATCGGTTGACCCGGCTGACCCGATATAATCGGTTGACCTGGCTGACCCGATATAATTAGTTGGAAACACAAATATCACATAAAAAATATAAAAGAAAATTTTTTAAATTTAATAAA